TTCTTAATACTGTACCCATACTTTGCAAATAATTATCAAATTCTTCTCATATTTCACAGTTTGATTGTGCCCTCTGTTTCCCACCTAATCCATAACCTGAGTGGCCCCAGGAAATAAGTCCCCAAAATGAGAATTGGAATCATTTTCCTAACATCTCTGAGGGAGGCAAGGCTAAACTCCATTCCAGGGGAGAATGGGACCAAGGTTACTCATGGCTGCAGCAGCATTGCTATCACTGAAGGTCAGTGAGAGGATGAGACATGGGACTCCAAGTGGCCATGGTGCTTAATCAACAAGGTATATGAGGTCACCTGGCTTCTGCTGACAACCCTGGAGACCATAAACAGAGAACAGGATGGGAATTGAAAGCTGTGGGTATTTGTCCAGCTGAGAACATGAGTGGTTGGTAATAAAGCTTTGAAGGCAGCTTTGAAAGAATCTAGCAGATCTGGCTGAGGCCCAGGCCCATAGCATGACTGAGGATTGGTAAGGATCATGTGATCAGACTCAGACTTGAATGAGAACTTTTCGAACCACAAAACCCCTCCTGAGCCTTCCTTGGTAGGACACAGGAAAGCATCCTTCCCTGCATAATAGCCATTTCATGGCTGCACCTGGGTCAGTTGCCTCCAAAGCTGATATAAATTTGCCTCAAGACTCATCCCCAGTACCCCTCATTTTCTCCATGGGCATAATAAGATACCGGTATGTCCTGGATACAGAAGTAGAAAGTCTACTTCAAGACAAACTATCTTGTCTATTGAAAAAGTTACAGAACTCTACCAAGCTGTTTGGGGGGCACATAAGGGAGTGGAGTCCACAGAAACCACACTAGGAAGGATGAATGGGCCAGATTCTTGGGTTGGTGCAATCACCTGGAATTTGAGATTTCACATATTGGCTTCACAGCTGGTTAATCTTTGGCATATAGACAAAGGAGTCCAAAGGCTCAGAGTGACCATGCATAACCCTCAGCTTCCCCCAAGCATTACCTGCACAAGAATCCAGCAGCTACTTTCTTCATTGAGGCCTTAATCAGTGCAAGGTGTGGAGGAGGAAACCTCTGGGATGGCTGTCTTCTGGCCACTGTTGATAGCAGTAGGGGACACAGTAATAGAATCAAGTCTTCTTTTCCCAATGGGAATAATGGGATCCCAAGGCAGGAATGGCCAGGGAAGGGCTTCATTGTTGCAGTCAAGGTGGTCACAGTATCTACATTAAGCTTCAGAGACCTATGCCAAAAGGCAAATTGATCACAGAGTTCACAGTAATGAATCATGTGGGCAACTTCACATATCAAAAAAACTGGAAAAACTCTGGATCTAATGAGAAACCTAACTCAAGGATCATAAGAAGGATTAAGGACCTTGGCCGCTTCCCAGACCTAAGCCTGTCCCTTGAAGGGAGGTTAAATCCCTTTGAGAAAGAATCCTGCAACACAGCCTGCCTGTGTTTAGTACTCTCCCCTCACACCTTCCTCAGAGTAAGGCACAGTGAAGCAGCAGAAGCCAATTGCAGCCAATTAATAGGGAACTTGTGCATTTGCTAAAAGACATGCCTCAACTTCCCATGTGTTAATATTCTGCAATCCTCAGTGACCCAGAATGCCCTCTGGTTCACTAGACAGAGCAGAGGCCCACTGAGGTCAAGTGGTGGGTCATTCTGGAGCTAGGTCCATACAACAGTTGACCCTGTGGAATGGTGACCAATCCCATGGTTCTTCCTCAGTTCCAGAGTGAGTCCTGGGACAGATAGCACATCAAACAGCTGTCAGATCCCCCAAGTTTGTTCCCTATCTGTTAGGAAGTTTCCCCACTCCACATTAAGATAGTAAAACAAAAGAAATACAACATCCTGATGGAAATTTTAGAGATTAGTGCCAATCAATGACTTAAAATTAACCTGTAGAGTGACAAATATTGTCACACTAATCTCACATGCGCGCGCACACACACACACGCAAATACGATTCTTGGTGGTCCACTTTCAATTTTACAGGCAACATGTAACAGATTGGAGAAGCTGCTGTGACTCACTACAAATTGTCTCCCAAGGCTGCAGAGATTGAGGGGACCAAAGCTAGCAGAGGCCTCTCAGCAGGCCTGGGTTGTGATGCAAATGCCCTACCACGTAGGCCTTCTGTAGCAGCCAGCACACTGAAGGGGTCCCAAGTGTCTGTGGCAGACCTCCATGGGAGAATCATAGTGCAGACCCTGAGGATTTGGATGAGGTCCACACCCTCCCATTCCGACTACTGAAAAGCAGCTCCTGGCTGCCACTGGGCCCTGGTAAAGATTGAGGACCTGACTGTGGAAAGCGGTGTGATCGGGCAAGTGGAGCTGTGCATCATACACCAAGTCCTGTCTGACCAACTGGTTCATAAAGTTAAACATGCACACTGGTCTTCCATTATGTGGCATTTAGAAGACTGGTCCTAAGTGGGTCTGGAAGGCATACACCAACTGCAGGAGGAAGTGGCTTGGATTCCCATGGCAGCTGTGTCTGCTGCTTTGCCACTTCTTCCTCTACCTGTCCCTGCCCATGGCCTTGTGGGGGCTCATCTGGGGCAAGGCACCTGTAAAGGTGACACACAGCTATTGATGCAGCTCAGAATCCTCATGTGCAGCAAAAAAGAAAATGGAATCATCTTGATTTCCATGATAAACTCAGACTATAAACATGTGTCCTCATGATCCTTGTGATCTTCAGGGGTCATGAGATGTTGGAATAATGCCTATGAGGATAAGTGACCTGTGGTAGTCCAACATTCATAGCAAAGCCACCGTTTGTTCCTTCAAGGTTATCTTTTTCTATCATCATGGAACAGGGCTTAATAAGCATTGGGTTGTTTACTTACTCATTCTGGAGACAGTACCAGGAAGGAGTAGAGACAAACTTGATAGGCAAGCTGACGGCACTTTCAGCATTTCCTTTCTGGCAGATGTGAACTTGCCATTTGCTGAGGAGCGAAACTGGTGGACAGAGCTGTCTTCCATCTACTCCTCCAGACCCACTCCGTCCTGCTCTATATCCAGAGGAGCTGACCTATGTGGACAGTGTCAACAGTTCCTCTTGTCCTCAAGTTTCTGGCTGGCTTTAGCCAGTGGGCAGGATGATGGAACTCAGTGAGGAAAGGGAGTGAAATCAAGGTGACTCCCACAGCCCCTCCCTGTGAAGTGACTCTTGCTGACTGCAACCCTTCCCAGGAGCTCCTATCAGGGGACTTTATCCATTCAGCCCCCTGCATGTCCAGGTTTTGCTGACCACTTCATTCCCTCACCCTCGGAGGCCTACAGTTGCCTCCTCTCAGTTCAAAGAATTGTACCATCCCTGATAAAATTCCCTTTTAAGTTACCCTATTTGAGTAGTCATCTGTTCCCACCTAGGACTCTGCCCGCTGCACAAAAGAAATATAATAAATTAGTGAGGCAGCACTGAGTGTCCGTTTGATGTTTGTGATCTTTATCAGTCATCTCAGCAGAATGATTTACTTCAGCAACATTCAGGTGCTTAAATGCAGGGCCAGAAAAGGCAGAGCAGGGCCAGTTTATTGATAGAGTTTTTAGTTTAAGAGCAGAAATAGGAGGGAACTGATGTGGGAAGTTAGGAAAAGGGAGGAGCCAAAGAATCGGAAGTGTTGGAGGTATCTGTTTAGGTGATAATCTGGAGTAGATGTCTGGAAGTGTCAGAAGTTTAAGAGAGAGACACTGAGATGAGAATTAAAGGTGCAGTTACAGGAGTCAAGCTTGGGTGTAATGAGCTTGAATGTCAAATCCCGGGGAATGCTGAGCTTATGGGGTATGGGGGTAAGAACTTATGGGATAAGGGGGAGAGGAAGAAAGGAGTCAGGAGCCAAAGGTATTTAAGAATGAGAAGGGGTGACTGAGGAGCTGAGAGTGGCATCAATGAGGAAAGGTTGGAGGTGGAGAGATGGAGGCTGGAGCATCACAGGGAGGAGATGTTGAAGGAGGAGAGATTAAAGGTGAGTTAGAAGCAGCAGCTAGGCACAGGGAAGGCACCAATCCCACCTCCAGGCATGGAAATATGAGGGGGAAGAGAAAACAATGCCTTTTGGTGAAAGAATTCAGTAGTATCTAGGCTTCAGTAAGGCAATGTGAAAAGGGAGCAGAGCTGGAGAGGCTGGCAGGGCTCCCTCCCTGGAAAGACTTTGGAAGGGGCCCCTCTGGAGCACTGAGTCAATATACACAGAGGCTTCTGTGATGTTTCCCAAGACTAGATTTTAAAACAAAAATGGGGCTTTGTGTCACCTCTGCTGTCAAGGAATTCCAAGATGGCTCATGAATCCAAATCTCATAAACTCTCTCTCAACCTTTCAGGAGGGAAACAGGTTGCCATTTTACAAATATAGATTCTGAACTGTAGAAAGGGCACAACCACCCTGAGGGTGCCAGGAAAGAAATGGAACTAGAAAGGTCTCCTATTTTCCCGGAGCTCTTAAACCTTTTGAAATCAGATGCTTTGAACAACTACCACTTCTGAGCTGAGTCCACAGTAAACATCTTCATCTCTAGGTATCACACACAGTAGACTAAAAACTGAAGAGGTCCATTGTCTGGGGCATAGCCATGGTATTGGCCAAGCAGAGCAGACGAGACCTGAGCTGAAGCACAGCACTCCCTCCTGCTCTTTGCTCTGATTATCCTTGCCCCATGTGTATGTTCCGCAAAAGAATAGCATTTAACAAACGTTGACAGAACCCCCAGAGTCCTGCGGGCAGCTGAGGGCTGAGTGTATTGACCACACTTTTGTGTAATTGATGGAAATAGCATGCACCACCTTCAAAGTTGAAGTTTATTCTAGGCTGTTAACTATGTAAAATATTATTTCAAAAAAGCACTTATGACCTTCTGCAAGTCAAATTTCTGGACTTTTAATTGATGATTTAAAAACTCCAGAGAAAAACACAAATGGATAAAATGCAATTTTGCATAATGTAAACTATGGAAAAACTAAGAGACTAACAAATCTAAAACATTTTGTCAAGTGATAGATTTTTTTTAATACATAAAATGTTTCCTTACAAACTGTCTGCCTTTTCCCAGGAAGAGAATGTATTCGGAGAATACACAATTTAAATTCTGATTATTTTAACATGAAAAGTGATTACATGAAGAAAAATTGTGGATAGCCTCAGGAAAGTGACAGTTAAACAGCACAAGCCATTTGGGGTATAATATTGCATTTGTGTCTTTTCTTACAGAGCATAGTAAGATGTGTTTTGAAATACACATATTTTCCTATAGAATAGTCTTGGGTAAGTTATCTTGTATTTTCCACGACTAGCCAGCATTCACCTGAATAAGAGTAGGGTGCCAAAAATCTCCTTCCAGAGCACCCCATGGTAAGCACCTTTTCTTCTCCAAGAGTGGTGTTAGGGGAGTTTTCTACTGATGTTGGTGATGGGTCAAATTTCCCTTAGTCTTCTCATGATGTATATGTATTAATTCCATCCCAACACGACATGAGCAACAAGGAGGTAACACATCCCAACCGTGCAAGAGACGACCATCATGGGGAAGCCCAACCTGAAACACAAAGAGAAGCGGATTGTGGGGACTGGTGTCTGGTGAGTACTGTGCTATTTGAACTCATTATAAAGTTATGTTATTGCAAAAGAATGTGGCCTTGGGAGCCTTATATATCCACAAAGTTAATTACCTCTTATTATTAGAAATCAAGAAGTTGGTTTCAGCCTAGATGATCTGGAGGCACACCTCCATTAGATATTCCCCATGGTATGCCATTTTATTTGAGACCTGCTTAAAGTTTTTGCAAAGTTTTAACTGATGTTTCAGAGTCTCAATTTGTTTGTCTACAACATGAGAGGGGTGGTCTTGATGAGGACTTACACTGTCAGTGTCAGGTAACTGGCCCATTACTTAAATTTCTGGATGTTTCCTATGACTGCCTCATCTTCAAATTGTCCTTCCAAGAGAACTGGTTTCCCAGAAAGGTCAGATTCCCATAGACCCCTGAAGTTCCTCACACTTAAAGCTGGGAGAGCTTGAGAGGTAGGATTGGAAAATAATCTCATGTCTAAAGAAGGGAAGAGTGAAGAACAAGATTTTCTTCTGTATTCAGTGAGGTGCAAAATGTGTAGATAGATATGGACAAATACAAAAGAAATCATGAGAAGATGAAAGTTTCCCTCATTACATGCTTCCCACAATGTACCTGTATCTCCACAAATTCCTATCCTAACTAACAAATCCTAATAAATTCCCACTTGGCATTTGGAACCCATGTTTTAAAGCCATTGCTTAGTGCTGCATTGTCACTGAGGGAGGTCCCTGCAAAGGTCACAGGTTTTGTTCCAAAAGGCTTAAAAATCCAGTGGCAAGAGCCTAGTGTGTGATAATGATAATAATCAGGATTATGACAATCTTCCTTTCCATGGTCATGGATTTGGGGAGTAGCTACTCAGTAGAAAGAGCTACAGCAAGTTTCTCTCTACAAAGCTATAATATAAACACAAAAACTGCATCCATGAGTGAAGCAACTCCTTAATCCTAGAGCAGAATTGGGCATTTCAAGAAGGTAGCAACTTCTCTTCTGAACGCATTTCTTTTTATAAAACAAAAAACAAAGCACAATAAATTTCAGTAAAACTACTCAAATTTCTTGAGATTGGTAAACTTTTTTTTGTTGTTTAATAGCTGAACGTATTTGAAACCTGTCAGCCCTGATCACTGAATTCTGGAAAAATACAACCTACGGACAGTTTCTGGCCAACTCTAAGCATCAAAGACATCATTGAAAATCTTCATATGAATGCAAAGCCTTCCTTCCACTGTGACAGATTGAGTAGAATGAATTGGTGTCAGGTAAGATGCTGAATACCTCAACGTGGGTGCTGCCACACCCAACCATGTTTCAGAAGCAAATCTGCCTTGCTGGATGAATCCCACAAAAAGCAGAACTTGCTCTTGGAAAGCCCAAGTCCAGAGAAATTTCCTCATACATGGTTCTGCCATGCTTCCCAGTGAGAGCTGCTGGTGTCTCAGGGATGGCACCAGCCCTGAGAAGAAGAATCACCCGAGACTAATGCAAGCCTTCAGACTCCATCAGAAACATGACTGCTCATTCAGTGTCTAGACACTCAAGATCCTCATGTGGATGACCTCATCAACTGCACACACCACTTTTTGAGATTGGTATCATCATACCTACTGCATAGATGGGATTTGGAGAAGTAAGCAGATTTATCCAGGTCACTTGGATAATTTGCTATAGTGCAGAAATTCAAACTCCAACAGTCTAACTCTAGAGAATACACTCTTAATCACTACATGTGTTACTTCCCTATGGATATGGGCAAACCATACAATGACGATGCACTACTCATAAACAAGTAATTTATTGAACATCTGCTATATACCAGGGACTACATAGACATAGAAATAGACGTTATCTATCATTTCCCAAACACAATAAGGCAGATCATATTATCCCTATTTTATAGAATAAGAAACTGAAACTCTGTTATATTAGGGAATTTGACAAAGTCTGCCACCACTAAGAGGCAGAGATGATGTTTTGGCCTATTTTACTGGTTTCAAAACCCACATGACAGGCACCCTGACACACTAGTTCAGGGTTCTTTTCTTGTCCAGCTACGTGATCTTGGGAAAGTATTAAACATCTCCGTGACCCAATTTCTTCATATGTAAAATGGAGGTAATAATAATACCTACTTACTAAAGTTGTTATGAGAATTACATGAGTTAACCCCTATAAATACCTTAGACCAGTGTCTGGATTCATAATGAGCACTCAGCAAATGTTAGCCTCAGGCCAGTGTTCCTCACCCTGAGTACATGCTGACTGGCACTAGAAAGTGCACAAAACAAAAGGGTAAAGCCTGGAGTGACTTCTTGGAGCATGAGTTTTGTTTGATGGTAAGAAATTTAACCATATACATGGAGGGTTTATTGGAAAAGAGAATATAATTGTTTTACAAACTAAAAACTATAGATCAGGCTTTTGGTTCTGAAGCAAGATGGAGTGGATGCATTTCTTCCTAGCCCTCCTTCTAAAAGCCTAGCTAAAAAGCCTGGGCATTATATATAAACAAACTTAAGGAGACTCTGATGGTGTAGACAAGAGAGCAGGCCAGCTAGGGACTCTGATCCTGAAGAACAGCATAATAATGAGTCTCCTTTTTGTTTCCTCATATATCCCAGACTAAGTGCTGGGAAGCCGAAAACTGGGAAACATTAGTGGATGGTAGAAAAAAAATTAAAAAACCAGAAAAGTCTGCTCTCTCTAGCCAAAGGATGAGGAAAGGAGCAGTATAGCAAGAGAGAAAACTCTTACATAATAACTGCCTTATTCCAGCCAAATACCACAGGAAAAAAAAAAGCTACAGCCCACCCCCACCCCACTCCCACTGGCAAAGGCCTAGTGGGGAATCAGAACGTCTACCCTCACCAGGCTATAACAAAGTACTCTTCCTATGGTGTCAGCGAAGACTGCACAGGGATCCTGGACTTTGACCCCTACCTGGAGCTAAGAGGCCTTCTCTTCTCTTGTTGGGGTGGTTTCAGAGAGACCCAGTGGTAAGCCAAGACTTTTACCACATTCCAGTAGCAGTAAGACCTCACCTCCACAAAGTCAGCAAGCTGTTGGTGGTCACATGGAGAGAAAAATGAGGCACCTCTCCACACTCCAGCCAGGGTGGTAACAGAACAGACAAGTGGGGAGCAGAACTCCAATCCCCCACTGCTATATACCACTGAGCAGTAAAGAGGCTCCTCTCCCCCACTGGAGTGTTAACAGAGTTCAAGTGGGAAACCTGGACTTCCACCTCCACCTGCCAGTAATGAGGTGACACCCTCTCACTCCCACCAGTGTGGTTAGAGGAGGCATGCTAAAGAAGAAGATTTAAAGAACATCCAGAATCTCACAACACCCAAAATGTCCAGGATATAACAGAAATTCACTCACATCCTAAGACCCAGGAATGTTTCAACTTTTGAGAAAACACAATCAGCAGATATCAACACTAACAGATGATACAGATGTTGAAATTACCTGATGAAGACTTCAAAGCAGCTATCATAAAAATTCTTCAACAAGCAATTACAAACACACTTTAAACAAACGTAAAACAGAAAGTCTCAGAAAAGAAACAGACATAAAGGAGAACCAAATGGAAATTTTAGAACTGAAAAGGTAACAACTGAAATAGAAGTCTAACTGGATGAGCATAATAATAGATGGGAAAGCCCAAAGGAAAAAATCAGTGAACTTGAAGATACAATAAAAATCACCCATCTGAACAACAGAGAAAAAACAGGGGAAAAAAATGAACAAACTCTCAGGGACCTGTGGGACACAAACAAAAGATCTAACATTTGTGTCATTGGTGCCCCAGAATGAGAGGATAAAGAGGATAGGGATGAAAAAGTATTCAAAGAAATAATAGCTGAACACTCGGTAAAAGAAATAAACCTGCAGATTTAAGAAACTAAGAAAACCCTCAAAAGGATAGACCCACCAAAATCTATGCTAAGGCACAACATAATCAGCTCTTGAAAACTAAAGAAAAGAAAAATTCTTGAAAGTAATGAGAGGCAAATGACAATTTACCTACAGGAAAAACAACAGTTTTCTCCTCAGAAACCATGGAGGCCAGAAGAAAGTAGAATAACATTTTTCAATTGCTGAAAGACAAGAATGACCAACCTAGATTTCTATAGCCATCAAAAATAACCTTCAGGACTGCAGCAGAAATCATGACATTCTCTGGTGAGGACAAACTAACAGAGCAGCAAACTTAGCCTAAAAGAACTGCTAAAAGAAGGTCTTCACATAGAAAGGAAATGGTAAAAGAGGGAATCTTGGAGCATCAAGAAGGAAGACAGTATAAAAGAAAAGGCAAAAATATGCTTAAATACGATAAACTTTCTTTCTCCTCTTGAGTTTTTAAATTATGCTTGAAGCAAAAATTATAACGTTGTCTGATGTGATTCTCAAAGAATGCAGAGGAATATTTAAGACAATTATAAACTGGTGAGCATAAACAGACTTAAATGGAAGCAAGGTTTCTACATTTGACTGGAACTAGTAAAATGTCAGTTAACCGTATTACATTATGTATTTATAATATAATAACTAGAGCAAACACCAAAAGATTTATAGAAAGAGATATATTCAAAAACACGGACAAACCAAAATGGAATTCTAAGAAGTCATCAAGCAACCCGCAGAAGGCATAAAGAATAAACAGAGAAACTAAAAAGAGAGGTAATCAACAGAAAACAAAAATAAAATAGCACATATAAGCCCTATCAATAAAAGAAAGAGAGAGAGAAAGTGACAGAGAGAGAGAAAGATAGGAAAGAGAGGCAGAAGGAGAGAGAAGGAATTTATTTCAAATGTCAGCTCTAGTACTTTAGATTCCAGCCTCATCCTCGCTAGTTGGGTTATGATATGCCAACAATGATATTTGTGTGTACTATAAGATTCCTGAAAGAGCCCTTAACCCATAAAGATGCATACAGTAGGGATTCCATGAATGAAA